TACTGTAATTGTTATTTTTATTAAGCCTATTTTATGTATTTTTTATTTATAGTTTAGACAAATGGGTCAGATGATTGGAGTCTATAATCTGAGACATTTAAAGAGACACGTTATTTTAACATTTTTATTTTAACAACATCAATTTCGAATTACTTCAGACCTTTTTGTGGTGTTTTGGCACATGCGTAATCGTTAATTATCTCCCATTGTAAATCTTATATAAATTTTTTAACACGTGAAGATTTGGCACAGCATCCTAACTAATCCATCTCTAGATAATGTCCATCCATACCCAAACATTTAAAAGTTATCCTCTCGGTGTAGGTACTATTCCAATTATGTGTGCTGAGCTCATCTGATAAGCCATGATAGTCATCAAAGGCGTCCTGGGGCAGCGCGACAAACGGAAAAAGCGCTTGGTGGACACGTAAAATTATTCGACATTTCAGACAAACATGTGAAACCGATAAACCCGCTGGGACACGCAAGCCGTTTCATCACTCTTCTTACCTCCGTAGTATGAGAAAGGGCCGTTTGGAATTAATTCCCCGGGTTCCAGCCGGTCCACTAGCGTTCTCATTCTCCTCGGGCTCCGGAAGAACGCGTGCCGTCTCGCGCCCAGGGCGCTCAATTGCTTCATGCGTCGCTCTTTGGACCGCCGGTTCTGAAACCATACCTATGAAGCACACAAGTCAGCATAGAGCAACGTTAATGAAAATAAAATGTATTGGAAGAATTTAAGTGCACATATTACGTCTGGAGAGTTGGAGACAAAGAGAGGCTCACAGCAAAGGTTGCCTCTGTATAAAAAATTACGTTTGACCACAAATCTCAATACATTAAGATAATAATGGAATGCCAACAGGATGTAAATGTGCAGAATACAAATTACATAGTCAATAAAATAAAAACAAACACTTTACTTCACTACAGATCGAAAACCTTTTTCTGTAGAAATATCATTATAGATTGGTAGCCTATATAAAAAGTAGCCTAACTCTGATATCAGAACTATTCCAACAATATAAGCATTATTTATGGTGTCAGTTTTTTATAATTATTAATGCTTACCGTTATAATATAATTGCTTTGTTTATAGATCCGTGATCAACATCAAAGCAACACCTAGGCCATGCATAACCTAGGTGCCCTGTTTGTGCCGGTGCGCGCGCTGCCCTACATTGTGGTCAGGTTCGGTGCGTGGTGACTTGATGGAGTGAAGTCGTATTGCAGGGACAAGATTACTACTAATTATCGTCACTCCAGACTCACAGATCTAACCTCAGTTTAATTATCTTTTAACCCTCCATTTACCCCGACTAAGGGGGCAGCAGCGGGAACTTTTAAAATCTACAATTAATACTTAGTAGGAGAGTTGTTACCAATATATTACACGGCTCTGCGAGGTTATTATTTCGTAATCTATGTATCCACCCTTGAATTCCTTCAGCTAATTATGCTCTTCCTTGACGCTCTTAAATATCCAACCTCGCCACTTTATTAATCTCCATAAACCATTATTTTTTTCACTTCATCTGACTTCAATGTTTTGTTAATACATTACCACGTCCCCGCAGCACTATCCCCATCATGGGAGTCTCTCAGCGGTGTGGATGCGCTTATTTGTGTGCCCATACGATTTATTTTCCCAACTTAGGTGCTAAGAGAGACACAGAAAGCAACTAAAACATTCCAAATCAGGTGTGCATCTTCAGTAGCCTAATTTTCAGTAGCCTAATTTTCAACTATTGAGAATAGGCCAAAAATAATGCCACCAAACAAAAAGCCTTCCAAATGATAGGCCTAGCTTACTTTTTTGCATTAGGTTATGCAATTTGTCCAAATTAAACATGTCAAATAAATACCACTGGTAATAATAATAATAATAATAATGATAACAACAATAATAATAATAATAATAATAATGATAACAATGATAATAATAATAGTCATAATGAAACTATTGATAATAATTGAGTCTGTTGTTGTTGTTATTATTATATGTCAATATGAGGCATGCTTATTTCAAATGGTTTAACCTATACTAGACTGGGGGATAAGGAGGCATTTTGAAGTCTCCTGAAACAGATTTCTGCATTTACACTTGACTGAAAATGGTCACAGCATGGCTAAATGTGGTCGCAAAACGTGATGGCCCAGCGTTGCCAAGACTCCCATCGCTCTCACCAGTCTCACGCCAGTTGGCATGTTAACCCATCCTGCACGCCAAGAATCAAAAATACCCATATACATTACGCTTTCCAAATAAACCTCGATGGCAGCCAATCTTTCACTCGTTCAATTCAATGTGACCATGCAATTTCTAGGCAACCCCATCTTTAAGCGGGAAGGCAGATGAGAAAGGAGCGGTGTGATTGTGATGAGGCCTCTGTTTGTGGCGAACTGTTGACACGGTGCCCAACATGGAGAAACAAGTGCCAACCAAGACCCCCCTCCGCGTGCCCCGCCCTTTTTTTTGTTGTTGCTCAGGCGCTCAGGGAGATACTTTCCATAAAATATAAGCTGCTATATCACACGTTTTAATATGTGCGTCACCCTGAAAGCGCACAAGGTGAGGGTCCCCCCACTCCCGCCACTATACTGTCCTCATTCACTCCCATACCAATACGACATGAGCTGCATCAGGAATTACATTTATGTCACTATAGTGCATTTGTCATTGCCATTACCTGAATTACTCTCATGTTCAGCCCCGTCTCCTGCGCGAGCTGCTCCCTGATGTGTCTGGTGGGTTTGGGGGTGGCAGCGAACGCCGCTTTCAGGGTCTCCAGTTGCTTTGCTTTGATGGTGGTTCGCGGTCCACGTCGTTTACCGCCAAGGTTCTCGCCATCATTCTCATTACTACCCGTTTCTTTGTCCGACAGATTAGCTATTTCAGAGTCCTTTACATCTTCCTGTAAATGATCTTGAGAATCCGGTGATAAACTTGGATCGCTACATGCTGTTACTGTAAAAACGAAAAAGGATAGAAAAAGCTTAGACACACAGTTCATGTGTAGACCTATAAGCTCAATACAATAAGGAATATGAATTATTACTATTGGCCTATTTGTGTAGGCCTTTATAGCCTTACTAAAATATAATGTTTTTTTTAAACAAATTGATATAGCCGTATTACACTATAGGCCTACCTGAAATAATAACCTGTGCAGATGTACATTATTTTTATGAACACTATTTGTCCATCCATTACTTTTTAGCGACCAATTAATAAATCATAAAATGGACCTACAATAAAATCAATAGGCTTATGGGTCTACAATAACCATACAACCCGATAATTAACATCTATGCAAATATAATTGCATATTTCGGCTTACAAATATACCTCAAATCCAAATAAATCTTTAGCAATCTTGTGAAAATATAGGCTTGCAATTGCGCAAATCGTTATTTCTGTTTTTACCATAAAACAAAATAGTTTAGGCATAGGGCCTACACTAAATGCAAGAGTACGGTCATGTTATTCTTCAAATCATTGAATTGATGCATGATCAACATGTGGAACAACTCACATCAATTTAGTAGCCATGCGCCCAAAATTATAAAGCCAATTTTTGCCGTTTAGGCCTACCTGAGAGAAGGTTTGTGTCTTTCCCATTGCTGTGGGTTAGATAATCTTCTTTGCAGACAAATTTATTTTCGTCTATGATGTAGAGCTCCTCTCCCGTGGATAGCTGTTTGTTACACATCATGCAAGTGAAGCAGTTGAGATGAAACACTTTGCTCCTTGCCCTGCGGACCAAGTCGTTCGGCGAGATGCCCTGAGAACAGCCCGCGCACTTTGTCCCGAACCTCCTGCGAGGAATGCATGATTATTAAAATGTCTTTAGGCACAAAACCAAACAATATATGTTAGTATACAACGATTGCATATTGAGCGTGTGAATAAATACTTAGTCTCTTAGAAAAAAAGGTGCTATCTATAACCTAAACGGGTTCTTCGGCTGTCCCCATAGGAGAACCCATTGAAAAACCCTTTTTGGTTCCAGATAGAACCCTTTTGGTTGCAGGTGGAACCGTTTTGGGTTCAATGTAGAACCCTTTCCACAGAGGGTTCAACATGGAACCCAAAAGAGTTCCACCTGGAACCAAAAAGGGTTATCCTATGGGGACAGTAGAAGAACCCTTTTGGAACCCTTTTTTCTAAGAGTGTACAAATAGGCCTGCTGCCTCCCAGTTGCAATGGTTCATGATGAGAATGATTCCATAATTGCCATATGTGGTCCTGTTCTTTATACATTTTACATTTTAGTCATTTAGCAGACGCTCTTATCCAGAGCGACTTACAGTTAGTGAATACATACATGTTTTTTTGATTTGTTTTTTGTTTTGTTTTTCATACTGGCCCCCCGTGGGAAACGAACCCACATCCCTGCCAGCCAAACCCTCGCCTACCTTGGATGACGCTGGACCAATTGTGCGCCGCCCAATTATAGTTGACTGAAGTAGGCCCTGTCCTTATCTTATATTTCTGCATTCATTGTCAACGGACACATTTTCTTACTTGGCCCAATCAAAAATTATTTGTTCCATTATAAACACGTTTTTGGGTAAATAAGAGATTTGCTTAGAATTGCATTTGAGTTCTATTTAGACCTAATGAAAAGACATGTTAGTGTTGTCCATTCTGCAATTTAGCTGATCATTATGAACAAAGACTACATAATGTAATTACACAAAAAAACAGCCCTAAATGTATAATACAATTAAGCAATAATGTTCTCTGTGGTTTTGAGATAATAACGACTTATGCACCATAGTACACATTGCAATATACAAGTTATTACTTTAACATGTGTGATTAGCCTCTTTCTGCTGATTGTAATGGGAACGAATGTGTATTGAGATGGTGTACACTGATTGTTGACTGCAAGTCTGTGATTGCATTGTCTGCTTGTTTGATCTTTTAAATAGGTTTATTATTTAAATCCAGTTATCACCTCCTTCGCACTGGAGCCGTGCAAACACAGGGGCCTGGGCAGATAGCTTTGCCACTGGGCCGAGAGACACACTTCATCCATACTACCCCGATGAAGTATTGATTCTAGCCGCTTCTCTGCGCCTTATTTCCTTCATACACCATACAGAGGACGAATACACACGTGTTTAATGTTGCTGTCTACCTTTTAGCATAACAATACAAATTAACAATCCTTTAATTATTGGCTCTCCTAATCAAAGCTTCCGAAGCACCACCTCCAAATCCACCTTCACACCTAGCACAAAAATTCTGGAGGAATTGGATGCAGTCTTAATTGTTTGTTTTAACCATATTAGACATGTGTAAAATGGATATTTAGAATGGTTAATGTATTAATATGTGCTACCTATCATAAATTCCATTAAGTATTTAGCCTTGAGTATGCCTATCATTTTGTTATAGGCAAATGATAATGGCAAATGTTTTGAGAGCAAAAGGCTGAACATTATTGACTTAACAGTTTTCTACAATTTGAAGGTATACGGTGTAATTATTGTATGTCTTTACATAGTTTTGCAATTTAATACAGCCTCTACTTTTGAGTTCATTACTTCAGAAGTTAGAGATTCACCTCAGTTTTTTTGTTACACTAAACAAATAACAGGGTTTATATGTTCATTATTAGCCTATAATACATTATATTGAAAATGTTTTGTATTTGCAATATATCCTTAAGAGTATTTTGAGGGGGGGGGGGGGGGGGGGGGGGGGGAATGGTGCATTTGACTGAGAACATTAGGATAGTAGTGTGTACTAAACAGAAACATGGAAATGCTTATCCAAGACTACATCTGAAATAATAATTCCTGTAGTAAATGAGAATGAAAGGGAGCAAGCACCCACCGGTCAAGCTTACCTGAAGAAGTCGTTTTTGCAGTATAGTTTCCCCTCTCGAGAAAAGCATTTCTCTGTTAAATTGCATTTACACTCGCAGCACTGTACACACTTGACGTGCCACGCTCTGTCCAGAACATTGAGGAGAAACCTGTCCAGTATAGGCCTCTCGCACCCAGCACAGTGGACCATCGTATTTGGATTTACACCTACTCTGCAACCGTGGTCTGTTCAGCTTCCTGAGGTTGTGGTCGTCTCACTCTCACTCTGACTTGAGCAGAAAACAAATCAACAACACACACCGATCATTGGATGTTTTGTATTTGGTTCCTTTTTCGCTCGGGTGTCCTGGATCAATGTGTTCACATAAACAGTCGATGGGTAGCCTGGTCGCTATCCTACCTCTTCTTCTCTCCTCTGAAGTGGTCAGCATGGAGATTTATAGGATCCAAGTACAGGAGGGCGACCGTTAGCCAGGATGCAATACAGGATGGCGACCGTTAGCCAGGATGCGTCCTCCCAGGTGAGGTAGTGCCAAAGCCTTTGACGCCTCGAAAGTCAGTCCTTTGGATCCTCTTCCATACACCCAACACACATCGGCTTAAATGAAGCCAATCAAATGGCAAAACATATCAAGCCACCTCTGAAGATTGGCTATACTGCGAGAACCATTGCCTATCAGCAAGTATCCGTGGTCATCAATGTGAAGCATTGGCCGAAAAAGCAACGTGTGCCAGTCACTGTTGAAGACGCACATCTAACAAAATGGTTTTGGGGCAATACTGTCACACAGCAAGACGCGCGTGCCTATAAATAATTCAATGTTCTTTGACATGACCGCTTATCCACTGTTGAGCACCCGATGAGAATCAAAATAATTAACCACCAAAATAATTCAAGAAAAAGTGGGTTTCCTCCGGCTCTGTTGGCTATCAGTCCCCTCGAGCTAACTTTTGGTAAATTATGCTAGTGATGGTAGGATGCGTGTGACATCTCTGTGGAGGATTGACGCTCCGCGTTCAGTCTCCAGTACTCTGCATGTTCCTGAAAGCACACGAGCCAGCCTTATTCACAGGCTCGTGACGTCAGGCAGTGGAGAAGCCAATCAGCAGCGCGCCATGCAAGTAATCATTAGCTATCCCTTCAAAGCCGAGCCTGTGCATTCTGTTCTATTTATGGGGAACTGAAGAAACCTATTGTCAAATATTTCCAGAAACTGTCAAATGTTAGTGAATGTATGTGGACGGAAAGACGACGACCATTGAGGTAAAAACAGCACAATCATCCGCTTATCAATTGTCTGCGGCGAGGGAATGGACATGAAGAATCATTTCTTAAGGTAGATATGGCCATCTTAATGTTCTCTCCTGATCCTGCATGGATCCTCCCCATGGGCGAGAGAGAGCTCATCTTAGTTTTAAAAACAGTAGCAGTAACAGTAGCATCTATCTTATATTCATATAACAAAATTGGATGGAATGCATGCTTTTGTTTATGTTTTAGCATATAGTGTATAGGCTACAGAAGTGACATGACTTTTGCCATACAATACGTTATTCAATTATACATTTTACATTTTTACATTTTAGTCATTTAGCAGACGCTCTTATCCAGAGCGACTTACAGTTAGTGCTTACATTTTTCATACTATGACAAGAGATAAGTCATAGATTTGATTTCAGACTTAAGTTGACCAAATGTTTTTTATTAGAATGTGCAGCCTCTCAAATGCGCCAAGAGAGCGCTCTCTTGGTTTGGGCTGAACAAATCTTAGTTAATAGTTTAGAGACAAATTTGCAATTATGTGTACATCACCTAAGGGAAATTAAGTTGACATGGGTTAGAAATGAGTATTTACCCAAAACGGGAATTTTGTTTCACAATTCGAAATAATCAGAGGTTCAGGAATGTTCAGGTGGCTGTTATAACTTTTTCATAATATGCTTTTACTTGAAATGTTTTTCTTGACAGCTGCACATAGCCTTCTTCTTACCTTTTATGCATATTATCATTTATTTGCCATGATCATTATTTAATCACTATTTCAATCCACGTTGCCCACCAATACATCTCAGCAGTGCTGTGCTCTCTTTGGTCTTTTGTGGAGCATGGGGGATGTGAAAGACGAAGAGGGTCAAAGTTTACAGGTTGCTAGATCATTGTGACAGTTGCTGATGGCTTCAACACCTTAGGACGTTTAATTAAGGCCGTTCAATCCACTTACCAGAAGAGGAGCTAAAAACATTACCTAGAAGCTTGCAGTCTCGAAAATAGTTGAGGCTGTGCATTATGTAGGCCTATTGAAAACTCTGAAAGTATTATAAGACTTTCAGAGTTAGGAGAAAATATTAATGTGTTTTACAGGACCAAAACGTCTTTTAATTTTTTAGGAACGATGTCTAAATGTTCTTACTATTGATGCGTTTTTAGTTAGGTTCAAGGTGACTTAAAATATCCAGCCATCATATTTCTTAGTTTTGCATTTCTTAGTTTTGCAATTGTTTTAAAATCATCCTTCATAGACCTGTCTTTAAAGCTCAATGGATGTTGAATCCTCTTTGAATCTTCTGAGTTCTTGCTTTCTCAAATTAACATCTGTAAAATGATAGCTTAATAAATATAGTATTAACAGTAAAGAAGTTGTAATAGTTTTATTTGTGTAGTGTTGACAATAAATGCTTTATGACTGATTGGATACCTTCAGACAGTGGGAGGGAAATTGATGCCAAGGCCAAAACAAAAACTCACATGGACGGTTGGAAGTCACGCACTTGTCACGGGGTGACACCACAACAGGGCCATCATCATAAAGGCCGCCTCTCTCACTCTCTCCTAGCCTATGAGATTACATTTCTTCACGGCACCTAATCTAACATCATCACTATCTCACTTCTCTCGCACACGCACACGCACACACACGCACACACACACACACAGATGGGCAGCGGTGAGTGGTACTCCATGTCAGTTATTTATATTCTGGCGGCGTATTTTTGTGCAAACGTTCCAGTCTGAAATCTGGAATCAATAGCCCGCCTCCTCCTGCATATGGGCTACTTCTCATGTAAAACGGAGGCGCGGGCAAGACAAGGCCGCGACCGGCCCCATACTATAAAAACACGGTGACAGCTGCCTGGGAGAGTCTGGGGAGCGCCTCTTTTGACTTCGGCACCCTTTCGATGACATGTGTTGTTCCCGGGGAAGAATAACAGATAAGAGATGAACACACAACATCCTCGAGCCCCGGCATTTCTCTCGCTCTCTCTCTCTCTCTCTCCTCTCTCTCTCTCCTCTCTCTCTCTCTCTCTCTCTCTCCTCTCTCTCTCTCTCTCTCTCTCTCTCTCTCTCTCTCTCTCTCTCTGCGTTTGACTGTGAGAGCTTTTAATTCATCTGCTAAGCATCTGGTTACATTTCCACCAACATCTCACTAAGAGAGACAGAGAGAGAGAGAGAGAGAGAGAGAGAGAGAGAGAGAGAGAGAGGAGAGAGAGAGAGAGAGAGAGAGAAGAGTGGGAGGCAGAGAGATGGTGACGCAGCGGAGAGACTTCAGACAATATAGTTTTGTCAACTCTTTGACATATATAATAAATATATAGACGTTTATAGACATCCTCATATAGCAACTTGATCTCATAGTTCTGGATTTGAAGTAATTGAATTAACGTCGATTTTTGACCAATTAATATATAAATATTTACCTGTACAGTCATTGAGCGTTGGGCCAGTAACTGAAAAGTCGCTGGTTCGAGCCGACTAAGTGAATAATCTGCCGATGTGCCCTTGAGCAAGGCAATTAACCCTAATTGCTCCTGTAAATCGGTCTATAATAGCGTCTGCTAAATTACGAAAATGTTAAATGAAAGAGAGAGAGAGAGAGAGAGAGAGAGAGAGAGAGAGAGAGAGAGAGAGAGAGAGAGAGAGAGAGAGAGAGAGAGAGATAAAAGAGAGAGAGAGAGAAAGAAAGATTGAGGTAGACAATTGTCTGAAGGAGACTTTTGACAGTTAGGCGATTAAACTAAACTCAGCCACAAATTATGGTTTGCCATGTTCAGACTTTTCAGTTGAGCATAATGAGGAGACACTACTATGTGAGATATCTAGCCTTCCAGAAATGAAACTTCAACATACGAATTTGTAATTTAAGTTTCAAAGTGGCGAGAGTAGCGAAAGGTTGTCATTTCATAGCCTATACCTCAAGTTCTGACTGAGGGATATAAGGTGTTCTTAAACTTAGACTACTGTAGGCTACTAACATATGGGAAGTACATACATACTAAATAGCTGTAAATAAATAACGTGTTATTTTCAGCACCAGTAAAATATTACTTGTCACACAGGGAATAATCTTTCCTGATTTAGAAGAATAAACCATTCAGTACAGCATAACCCACAGAATGAGATTAATTCATGAATAAAAACGAAATCAGACATATATGAATATCTCAGGACCCCTTGAGGCAATGACGTGATTAAATGCAAAATGATTACTGCTGTAATACGTTATAGGAGTAAAAATTTTCACCCAGTCAACGCAGTTTCGTTTCATATCCAGAAGGGGTCAATTCGAATTGTATTACCCAAAGAAAATGCATAGGCCTACCATGGACTAGATTTGGCACACCATGCACAACTGAAAAGGCCTAAAGTTCCTAAACTTGTTTTCTCCTAAATTCTAAGATAGGCAGCACAAAACAATATGAAGGCAGGCCTCTATATAATGTAATATCTGCCTCTACAATGTATTTCCTCACTTTGATCCAAGGGGAGCTTGGTTTTACTATGCAGCGAGCAACGTGTGGGGCAAGGCTAGAGGGAGCCATCGAACGCACAACACAAAACCAAACCAAACCGGGCACTAAACAGGGCATGAACTAAACGCATCTCTTTGCACATCATTGCCAGTCAAAAGATGAGACCTTCTCTGTTGAGAAGATTGGCTACTTACTTTTTTCGAAGCATCTGTTATTGTCTGTGTTGACCTGAACTGCATACATAGCCTACTCTGTCAGCAGTGGTTAAGCCTAGATATAACATTATTTTTCATGTGAAAGTTGTAGGCTATTCTTATTTTGAGCACTTTTGTCTGCATTTCTATTCTATTCTGTTCTATTCTATTCTTATTTGTCATGCAACCAGACAATCCCCTGATACAATTTAGCCAAAAACGTAATGTAACCTACATTGACTTCTACAGGCCCTGGCCCTGTGTCATTTTTTAAAACCTAAATAGAGCAAACTCTAAAATAAATGCTGCATTGATATTCTAAACAGTGGCGTGTATTTATGGATGCCAAGGGAAGCCATGCTTCCCCCCAAAAAATTGACCAATAAAACAAGTATTAATAAATGTTCTTTCATATCTCTGTGTTTCATAATTTTCCTTCAATTTGCAAGAGGCTGAATGTATCTCACAGGAGAACTCATCCGAGCGAGCAAAACAGCGCCCCTCTGTCTCTCTACGTGTAGGATATCTATCTGATGCTGTCTGGTCCAAACGAGTATGACATTGTTGCCGCCCTTAGCATTGAAGGCAAAGGAAGTCAGCACATGTCTGGCCTCCCTTGACAAAAAAAAACGATGAATGGTCCTGGCCAACCAAAAAAAGGTGTCAAGGGAAGACAGCGTCACTCCTATCAAATCCCATTGAGAGCATACATCATTGACAGAAAAACTTGAATTGTTGCATCTTGTTGTGTTGTTGTCCTTTGGTGGCTAGCTAGCCAGCCAGCTAAAATTGGCCCTAAATTAGCCATGGATGGAGAAAGGGCTTTGTACTTGTGGTTTTACGTAATTCTCATTGCTGGCCAGTGATTATAAAGATGATTATGATCCAACCATTAATTCATTAATTGTTGTGCCCCTGGCCTGAGAGGATGGAAGTTCAATATGTAGCTAGATGTAGAAGGCTAATGTTAACTAGCTAACGTTGTCCATGAATGGAAGTTAGGCTAAGGAGCAAGCAATTTAGCCAGGTAGCCTAGGACAACAAAAGATAAAAGCGTGTACTGTATTACAGAGTGATAGACTT